CATCTTGAAGAGTTATTATTCTCACATGTGTGATCGGCAAGAGCTGTAACAACTGTTGATGACTTTTTAATGGTCTGATAAATGTAAAATAACAACAAATCCACTTTAATGTTGGAGCTGTGATTTATGTCCACAGAGATTGGAGAGTCACACTCCATGAAATTATTTCAGCTGAATCAAACTGAATTCAGTTCAACTTTATTCAATTTTATTTTTAAGCGCCAAATTACCACAGCAGGTGCCTTAAAATACTTGTAAAGACCTTACAATAATACTGAGAAAACCCCAGAAACCGGGCACCGCCTGTCAGCATGCACTCGGCGACAGTGTGAAGGAAAAACTCCCTTTTACCAGAAGAAACGTCCGACAGAACCAGATTCAGGGAGGGGCGGCCATCAGCCGTGACCAGCTGGTGGTGAGGGGAGGGAGAATTTGGTTTAGCATCTATACGGTAAATAAATATTACGCAAAGAACTAAATGCAGTATGGCCGAGTATTTTGCTTCATTTGCTTCATTTGCTTCATTCAGTATTGTGGGATTACGAAAAAAGCTATCAAACCTGGATTGTTAGATCATGAATTAACTGTGGTTAACCACAAAAAGCATCAAGTCATGCTAGCTTTAGTTGGACATTTACTTTTTCATATATAGACAAGTAGGTTTGGATAGCCTCAGGTTATCACTCAGGTTATCTGTCTATTATTGTCATTTAGATTTATTGTTAATAGAGTTATATATTATATCACAACAGTGCGACAGCAGTTCTGTCCATGTTCCCATTAAGTTTTTTATAAAAGAGAAAAAAACACTGATTCCAGTTTCAGTGTGAATGTTGTAAAGCCAGGAGTCAGTGCCCAGTAGAGAGCAGTTAATTGACATCGACTGTTGCATGTCTATAGGACACCAATAGAGCCGTGGCTCTCCTGCTGCCTAAGTGCTGCTCAGAGAGCACAAAGGCTGCTGGGTTTGAAAAAGCTGCCTCAGTGCATGAATGCTAATGGAATTGATTTATACCTCCATTTCCTCCACAAGGGAGACTTGTGGACTTTTATTGCAGAGGGGGAACCAAGACCCTTCTGTGTGCTCAAAAGTGTGACGAGGTTGAAATCGTAGGAGGCAACTACAATCATGATTTAAACAGAGTCCAGAGCTGTTATGAAAATCCACTGGGGAAATGACTGTGAGAATATAGTGGCACACACAGAGACAGATGTTGGTGGTTTTGGGTGTGTTTTAATTTATTTTTAAAACTTTTTAAAACGTATGTAAAGTGAAAGAGAAAATCTGTCCCGTCTTTTCTTTAACAGTGATCTCAGTTAGCGTACTAGTAATTTCGCAGCCTCGACTCTGGTGAAAATAGAAGAATATATGGGCTTTCTCGCGCAAATGTCGGGCGCCATCCCTCCTCGGCATTCCTTTATTATCTTTTCAGTGGATTTGTTTGATGTTAAAGGTCTGCTGTTACCCGTAAACCCATTATCACAGACGCACTTATGGCAACCAGTTTGCTATGAGAGATATGCCATTTGCATCTCTTTGATGTCTATGTACTCACTGTGACACGATCACAAGTCAGGTCTGCCTCCAATCACGATTTGAACGACAAACTGCATTCTGTTTACAGCCCTTTTCGCTTTTATTGAATAGATGTTGAAATTCCTTCTGAGAAAAAAAAAGTAAAAAATGCACAACAGTCATGTTGAGATGAAAACAGGTTTGACTGACACAAACAGTAACATGTGAAATACATTAAAGGTTTTTGCACATACTTCCTCAACGAATGCCATGCAATGGGATATGATCCATGACGGCAGGCCACGTCTCAGAGTCACAAAGCGGGGATGATCCCGCCTCCCAGAAACACACTACATGACTCTACCTCTCCTTCCATATATTGTTTTCTTTTTTTCTCTTGTACACACAGGTAGCTAAAGACTTGCTGCTGTACTGTTTGAATGCAGAAACACAAGACGATGAAAAATCATATGAAATCACTTTATTCTCAGTGTGCGGTGATTCCATTTTTGCAGGAAAGTTACAGACCGAAATATTAGTCTAAAATGGCATGCAGTGAGGCTAACAGGTGGCGCTTTGAAACACAGAGAGGACACGGAACGATTATATCAACAACCTTGCCTACATCGCACACCATAAGCATGCATACATGTTGGTCAACAAATAGGGAGCTACAGAGAAAGAGAGAGAGAGAGAGGAGGGGGTGAGAAGATTTTGCAGTACAAAAGAATACACTAAATGAACATGTTTTTTTTTTCTCTCAAAATATCAACCACCAGAGGACAGGACCGGCTACAGACAAGAAAGAAAAACATACTGCACCAGACTAAATATCTTCTCAACAAGTACAGAAAAGAGAGAGACAGATGCAAGAAGAGAGAAACGTCAGACAGTTACATTCAAGTCACATCAAAAGATTTTTTTTTTCTTTTTTGTGCCATGTTTTTCAGGCAGCTTTTTAAATTCTATCAATGGCTGTATGAGTGGCACAAATGACTGACTGGGTGTCTGACACAGTCTACTGGACAACAGGATATTGATTACGCATGACTTGGGCAGTTTGTTTAGGCAGTGATCAAAAAGCCATTTGGAGCGCAATCAACCGACATTTACAAGATGATGATGATGATGAATGAGTCCATGATTATGTCAGTGGATGAGAAGCAAAGCTTGATCTGATTTCAGAGCACACTCACTCATAGCCTGAAGGAATGCACGCGCTAACGACGTTTGCTAAGGTGTTGTCGTCCTTTGCAGGGGCAGTAATTGTAGCTTTCTAGATTATTTTCTGGGCCAAAAAAAGAGATATTTCACTCATAAAGAAAGACCGTAGCTATAGGCTTGCTAATCCGCTAGCAATGAAAATATAAAATTCTTTAGCCGAGAACCCAATGAGACTCTAAGTGAAGGCTAAATATGTTTAACGTCTATGAAAAACATTACTAGAATACCTGAGAATTTTAAAATAAATCAGATATGCAGGAACTAAATGGGAATGACACCCCTTGACTAGGTCTAATACTACCAGCACTATTCTTTGGTTTGACTGAATAACTGCTGTGATGATGGATTTGAGTGCATGAAACATCTACTGGCTTCTAGCTAGCTGCTAACACACTGTAGGAACAGAGGCTGGCAAAGGCAGTTTACAGGTACAATAAAATCACAGGAAGTTCAATAAATGTGCTCTACAGATGATCTTACCACACTGTGCCATTTGATTTTGTTTTAACATATTCAGGGTATATATGTATATATTCACCATGATTACAGAGCTCACAAAACACAGAGAGAAGCTAAATTTCCCTTTCTCTACGCCACAGAAATACACAAGATCAGAATTAGTGTCATTTCATGGTTAGCTAGCTTAATAAAAACAGTCATAATGTGGCGAAACAGCTGGTTTTGAAAACCCTAATTTAACACCTACCTATGGCTACTGTGCACAAGTATTTTCCAAAAAAATTTAACCGATCACTGCAAAAAGCACATTTATGATTTCCCCTAGACTTCATGCGGGACTTTTCCTAAATGGCAGCTAATATAACCTCTCCGCAGCAACATTTTAGTGCCATTAATCAGATTCAGTCTAGATAAATTTTGCGGTTACAGCATCAAATTTAAGTTATTCATTGTGATGTACTTGTAGGCTGAAAAGGCATTTACTGAGGTGTAGTGTAAATCTAAGTTTGCGTGTTACCAGCTCGAGTCTGGTGGAATGTCTGAAATATCTGGAATGTTTAACAAGACACTGGGAATGATGGAGAAATTTAAAGAAAAGGCATGAGGAGGATATATTTATTCCGTCCTCATTTGTTTTTAAATTTGTGCTATTACAGTTACCTGCAAGGCAGAGTAAACTGTAAACTATAAACAGCAGGTCAATGTTATTTTTTCAAGATGCCAAGGATGACTTTGATTTGTTAATGTCTGCTTGTAAAAACCTGTAGTTTGTAACTCTGAACACAAACCCTGGATGCCGTATGTCACGTGGATGAACACTTCTCACAACATTAAACGAATCATCCCACTTTCTCTCTTCCTTGTTTTAAGTAAATACCTCTGACCAATGAACTCTTAAGTCTCGCTACAGTAAGAAGCCACCCTCGCGTCTTTAACATCGACTAACATTAGGGATTAACTTCAAACACACAACAATGAAGATTGTCTGTTATTGCTGATTTGGGATTCGACTCCCATCAGTTAAACCAACGGACACGAGACAACTTCATTTTGAACAATATATTGCACTATTGTCACTGTCTGTTCACATATAGTGTATTCACAACATAGTTGTGTTTGGGAAGTGTCTTTTTAAAAAGTAAAATGATGAAAGTGTTAGCACGATTCAAAATTAACAAGCCTGGCCAAACGTTTACATTTCCTATTACAAAAAGCTGAGTGTGCAACACCACAGAAGGAAAAGAACTTTGTTTTTTTAAGCCTCAAACATGTATAGCCAGTGACTTTATAGAATTTAAGGATTTCATCTTACTCTTTTTAAGACAAACTTTATGGAGAACATTTATAATTTCCACCATGGAAGAACGTTTTAGACACAAAGTCAATTATCGCTTACTGTACACGGTGGTGGATGAGACGTTAACTAAATAAAAATGGAAAACCAGTTATTGCCTCAAATTTTCAGTGTATTTTGCTTCATCATAACAAAGGAAATGGTATCCATATATGTACTTCACAACTTTACTGCATGCTTAAAAAAGTAAACAAAACAAAGCAAAACAAAAAAGTTTCATTTCAACTGAATTCCTTCACTTTTGAGTTTACAGATGTATTGGCTTTGCCAGTGTTCGTACTACACATTTACATTAAAACAGTGAGAACATATGGGACAGTTTGTGGGAATGATCCTAACCAAGGAGAACCAATAAAAATGCAAGTATATATACACTGTATGTATCAAATATTAGCAAGAACATAACAGGACGATTCAATTAAATTTGATATGATTTGGATAATTTCTTACAAGTTAAAAATATGGCTTATACTCTTAGTTATCTTGTTATACGTCATATTTCACTGATATATAGTACTCTTTTTATATAACCGAGGCTATTTACAAACAAAAAGGGTGGATGATGGGTGATATCTGGTCGTATTCTAAGTGCTGGGCATTTTGAAAACATGGCATCAGTTTGCCTTAAGTAAAGACATTCGATCTGTGTAGGTGTTGCATACTTTTTAAAACACGATAATAATCACAGGTTATCAAGAAAGATCTCTGTCAGAGATATTAAAAAGTATGAATCACTGTGAGATCAGAAAGTTTAACTTAAGGGCAAAATCACAGCATGTTGTGTAATTCCAGGACACTTAGAAGTTGAGTTGACTGGGTGGGAGGGAGGTGAAGAAAGGTGTGGCTGCAGCTGGAGGTGGGGCAGGGTGGTACAGCATTGATTAGATGGACATTGTAAGAAGTTAACCATTTTCCTGCCAGAACGCTGTTACTTTTTATTGAACATATCCATGAGTGGTGCAGGGATGAATTTCATGACCGTATCCACGATGCTCTCTTCTTCCTCCTCATCGCCGCAGCCAGCAGGAACTGCTTTTTTCGGGCGGGTGAGGCTGCCCTCGGAGGCCTGCTCCATAGCAGCTGCTGCCTCGGCTTCCTTCTCCTCCTTCTTCTTGATGCCATACTGCACGGTAAAAGGGAAAACAGGTAAAAACAAAAAATAGTTAGAAAATGAACACCCTGTAGAGGTTGCAATCAAGACAGAAGCAAAGGATGTTACCATAAAACCACCAAATCTGTACAGGTAGGCTAGATGGATGAGTTGACAAAAAATTGAATTTTAGCATAATTCCTTTAAGTTCATGTAGTCAGTTTTGTTACAATGATGAAAATGGTTCTTTCAGTTGAATAAAGTCTATCCTTCAAGCTTGGATCCTCTACCAGAGGCCTGGGAGCTTGAGAGTCTTGCGCAGTATCTTAGCTGTTCCCAGGACTGCGCTCTTCTGGACAGAGATCTCCCGATATTGTTCCCGGGATGTGCTGGAGCCACTCGCCTAACTTGGGAGCCACTGCACCTAGTGCTCCGATTACCACTGGGTCCACTGTTACCTTCACCCTCCACATCTTCTCCAGCTGTTCTCTGAGCCCTTGGATTTTCTCGAGTTTCTCATGTTCCTTCTTCCTGATGTTGCTGTCATTTGGAACCGTTACATCTATCGCTACGGCCGTCTTTTTCTGTTTGTCTACCACCATCAAGCCCGGTTGGTTAGCCACCACCATTTTGTCTGTCTGTATTTGGAAGTCCTACAGATTCCTTGCTCGGTCATTCTCCACCACCATTAGGGGTGTCTCCCATTTTGACCTCGGGACTTCCAGGCCATACTTGGCACAGATGTTTCTGTATGCTATGCCGGCCACTTGGTTACAGCATTCCATGTATGCCCTGCCAGCTAGCATCTTGCACCCTGCTGTTATGTGCTGGATTGTCTCAGGGGCATCTTTACACAGCCTGCACCTGGGCTATGCTTCATGCATGAAACAACACCCCATTCTCATTCACATACTTCCACTATGTGTCAAACCCGCTTGAGTCTCACAAGATACACAAAGTGTCCTTTGTTGTTGAGTTGTGTTGCCTAAACATAACAAAGCATTGACCAAAATTTCTAAACAGAACAGTGTCCTGACTGACAAACTTAAGCCTTTCCCTACCACAACCCCTCAAACTCCTATTTACCTAATTTGTTCTGTTCTTTGTTACCAGATGAAGGAGCTCTAAAATCACTCAGCATCTGATATTAGTATGGAGGGTTCAAAAGACACCTATGACAGCAAGATCTGACAGCAAAGCTGTATCTGATGACAAGGGATTAGAATATGCAGTTTTATTAAATTTGTATTAAATATTCACCAACCAACCTGCATAGTTAAGGCCAAAATTCTTCACCAATTATGATCAACTAATTTTGTCAAGAACTTAGGGATAGAAATATGAATGAGTAATAAATTTCATTGTTACATTTCATTAAGCAGTATATTTGCCTCTTTTTAAACTCAACCCTTTATAAAGTCTATTCCTTCTGTCAATTAGTGTCTGTCCAAAAACGTATTTATTATATTTGTAGACACAGGGCCTTAAGCTAGTTAATTGTTTTTTTGTTTGTTTTGTTTTTTGCTTTAAAGGCTTGCAGAGAAAACTAGGATTCACTTTAAAATATCAGTTTCTTTTAAATATAGGAACATAAAGACATGAATATTTCAAGCAATTCCAGGAGGTGGTGACTGGTTAAAGCAATAAGTATTCTTATAAAGTAACAGATTTCTTAATTTGCATGGTTTAGCTTGAGGCTACACGCAAATTAGGCTAAACACAATGTATACAGCAACCTTTAGGTCCTGTTGCAACTGATTTCTGCAATTAGATGCAGAAAGAAGTTCAGGTTCTTGTTTTATTTTTGGTTATGTTTTTGTGGGTGTATATGGAGGCTTGAACTGCTGCTAGCTCTAATTTAACCTTCCTGGATATTTTATATAGCAATTACAGAGGCAGAGGCACTTGGCAGGTGTCCTGGACAAGGTTTGCTTTTAAAAAGCCCATTTTTAAGACTACTACTAAATCAAGAGTATGTTTGGAGAACAACAAGCTTGTTAAAACATTAAAGACATCAGCTGGGAAATGCATTCCACTAGTAAGTCCACTGACACAGCCATACTGTAATGTCTGTGAACAACTGCATTGAAGATAGTATGGAAATGATTTTGTATTTTATGAGTGATATGCCCATAACTAACCAAACACTGTGACAATATGACATGAAACATGAAACAAACAAGTCCAGACAGGCTGAAATAATTCATCGTTATTTCAACACGTTAGTTCAAGCACCACAATTGAACCTGAAGCTTTTATGAATTCAGAATAGATGGATAGATTGAATTTGTTGCCATACGGAAACTAGGATCCTGACCTCAATTTCTGCATTAAACCTGAGGATCTGTGTCCAGTTTTGTGTATTTTGTGCATTTGTGGTCATAGATTGAGAAAAATCAATACAGGAGGACTGCAAGGAAAAGGTTGCAGTGCACGGGGAGGTCAGCGGGCCGAGTGATAGTTGATCTTGAGGCAGGGAAGGGGAAAATGAGCTGCACTGCTCCATGACCTCTTGACTGCTTTGCCAGGCACACACTAATGTGATTCTGTGGCAATAAATATCTTAGAGGAGGAGTCGCAGTGTCCATTTCCACTGCAGAGAGGAACACAGGGCATAAGTGGGTATGTCTGTGGAGTGAAGCTGTACGACTGTTTGAGGGAACAACAGCTGAAAAAAAACTGTTGCTTTAAATATTTTTTGTTTTTTGCCTTCATGACTAAACCACTCTTTTGTCAAGATCTTATGTTTTTTCTCTTTGAGGTTTGAGGCTCAAAGACTTAATTACAGTTTAAAAAATGAAAAGACAGGCCTAAATCAGGTATCATAAGGAAAGAGTGGGAGTCGACCCTGGACAGGCCAACAGTCTATCACAGCACTAGCACAGCGACAGACTATAAGTCACATTTATGGCTGATTTGGATTAGCCAACAATGATTTTAGACATTATTTTTCAATTATACCGCATACTAAATTGTGTTTGATTACAATATATTATTTTAGGCTAGACTGGCTCAGATCAGGCCAACAGAAGAATCCTTCAGAACTGTTGAATTGTAGGTTTTCATTTCCTCGGTTCAGTTAAATCCACCGATTTTCAGAAACAGCATCAAATACTGATGTTTTGTCACATCTCAGCCTTAACCATCAAATGGTGAGGAACGACATCAATGCTAAAGGACAATGTTTGTGTATCTTTAGGTGGGTCAAACTCACAGCTCATCGGGTGTATTTGCTTGTAAACAATCCCTTGCATACATACACTGGGTAATATGCAATGTTAATGTTAAGTTAACAGCTTTTCCAAAACCTAACCAAATGCTTTAGGTGTCTTAAACTAAGAGGTGTCTTAAAAACAAAAAGAAAAAAGAAAACCCAAGTGAAAATTAAGCAAAACAAAAACATGAAACTTCCATATAGGACACAAACTGCAGTCCCTAGCAAACGTTTGACTCACTCAGCCCTCCAGGCTGCAAACGGACTGTCAGAGGTTGAGTGGTTGGTGGATGTTGTTGCCATTTTAAAAAATGATGTAATCTCTCAGCACTGATGCTTTCCTGTGTCCTCAGTAGTACATATGAGCATAGATATCATGTCGACTGCTTTACTGACAACATTTTATATACCAGTAATAATTCATAAACTGTCACAAATCTTTCAATACCAAAAGTATATTAACACTCCAGCTGCTGCAGTTGGAAAATGTGGGAATCCTCATATACATATCTTCAACAATGACTATTTTAAAGATGTGACTATGAAGAAAAGTTTAACTTCAGCAAGATCGAGAAGCTAAATATTTTTTGACTGGCTGGAGGGGTGTATCTTACTTCAGTACCTAAGAAATATTTCTTCTGAATTTCCGACAGAAATAAAACAAACATTGGTGTAATTGGTTGATGTAGCTCTCTTCTATAACTCCCTCTGTTTCCACTCTGTCTCTCTTTCTTTTTTAGACTTGTTCCACAGTAACAAAGACTTGCATCAGTTGAAATGAACAGCCATGCTTAGTCAGCCCCTCTCACCTTGCTATAATCAAACGCTTCCAAAGATATGCTGTCATATTGCTCTTTTTTGAGAGAGCGAGAAGGAACTCCAAACATAGTTTTATAAGAGCTACACATAGAAAGTTTCAGTCTCTCTCAGGGCATTCAAGTCAAATATCTAATGCATTATTAGCAGTGTCAAGGGTAACCCTTCCGGCAAGCTGCAGACACTTTGATCATCATATCTTATTACAGCTTAATCAATATTAATTTAGACATTATCCAAAGCCAGAATTATCTTGGTGACATAAAAAGGGCCACTAAGTCAAGAATTTCCATTGAACTTTGAAAATGAACTCCAGAAGGGAATATGTTTAAGGATCTATATCCAGTAATTTAAAAAAAAAAATTAAGAGTGCAGAGTTTTAATCAAAACAGAAGGACTAATATATAGTCCAGTTTTTAAACCTCATTCTCCATTAGCTATTCATTTGAAGTGCAATTTGCAGTATAAAGCTTGATTTATAGTATTGTTGAATCCTAATAGAGCCATGCCAGAGAGGCTGATGCTGTTGATTTATTTGTGCAATGGTCTCGCTGCACTGTTTTGTGACATGAGTGAAGCTGAGCTGTTTATGACGGGCCTGAAGCTAATCGGTCTCGAACAACAGTCACCAAAATGCAAGAGATGTTTTTTTTAGAGCCGATTGAATTTATTGCAGCCAGTGTATAAAAGATGGATGTAACCACCATGACTTCACCCTCTGGTTCTGACCCTGCAGTTTGAAGCCTCAGTATGTTTATCACTATGTTTTTTTCTTTGTTTTGTTTTTTGAGTCAGATGTTGCAGTTTTTGGATCAGAAAGGGTAAGTGTTGAGTTATTAGCCAATATCACCTAGACTGGTTTGCAGCCTGGATTCATGGCCCTGTGTGGGCTGAACACAGACACGTATATCACTGACGACTTTAGTTAACAAAATAGTAAAACCAAAACTGAAGCACAAACTTCTGGACAGTCTGTACCTCATCACAAAAATTTCATTACAAAAGCTCAAGCAGCATAAATGAGCAGAAAGGTCCCAGATCAGTGACTCCAACTGTCATCAACACATGCAAAAAGTGCACGTTTTTAAGGAAGCCTGAGGAAATGCAGGTTTTGGATGTTTGAGTTTGATGCTTGTTTATAGACATGTTAGCAGAACTATACGAGAAGCAAAAGCAGCATCTCTCTACGACTAAAGCCAATCCCACTTTGTTTTTACAGAAGTTATATTGTTTTTTTACACTGTTTCTATTCTCTCCTTGTCCAATTTTGGGTCAGTCGGGAGGCTAGAGCCTATTCTGTCTAGGGCAAGAGGCGGGGTATGCCTAGACAGGCCAGTCTGTCACAGGGCTAATACAGACAAACGGGCAAGTGTTCATACTCACATTCACAGCTAACGTCAATTTAGAATCACCAGTTAACCTAACCCTACTACTTGCATGTGTTTGGACTGGGAGAGAAAGCTGGGGAGTACCCGGAGAAATGACACAATCTCCACACAGAAAGGCCCCGGACAGGTGGCGGAGCTGAACTCACGACCTCACGACCTTCTTGCTGTGAGGCTGTAACCATGCTGCCCAAGTTTACATTGCATATTTCTACTAAACAGACCTGTTTGTAAGCATGTATAACAGCTGAACAGCAGTTTGTTTAGTCTGTGGACTGAGATAACAGTTTAAGAACAATGAGAGCTCTTTGAGCATGATTAACTCGTGAGGCTCTATTAGTATTGAAGTTTACCTTATCCCTGATGCCCTGTCGGATGTTTTCTCTCTCTGCCTTCCATTCTTGCTATTTTGGCCTTCCTCCTCTTCCTGTTGCCTCAGCGCTTCTTGTCTTTCCTCTTCTTTTTTCTGAGCATCAGGATCCTTCTCCTCCTCTCCACCAAGCATCTTGCCCATGTCTTTGGTGGCCCTGTTGTTGGTAAATTGTGAAATAAAAGAAATTCAGTCATTTTCTTTTATGGAGTGACACTGGCAGTTCATAGTGATTGCACATAATAGATCACAGCTATCGGGCTGGTTTCAACATCTGATGTGCCAGCATTACATCTGAAATCTGGATAATTCAATAGATACTGCTTTGTATTTAAATCCTCTCTCAGGCCAGTGAAAGAGCAGCACTTGACTGAACCAAGACAAAAGGGTCTGACAATAGAGAGAACAAGAGGTGAGCAGCACGAAGAGAGCTGAGATAAAAGACTGTAATAAATTATTAGCAATTCTCTTGATTGCCTTTGTGCTGCTCATTTTGGCCCTTTACTATCTCCAAGAGGAATTTAGATGCAAGCGCCCACTTGGACCATGGGTTAAGACCAGAGAACAAAGGGCATGGGGAGCAGTTGAAGGGACAATAACAATCAGACACAGGGGCTCATTTGCTACTGACGTCTGAACTTATTAAATATGTAAAAACTGAGGATGGAGAATGTGGTAAAAGATCTTCTGTGCTTCACAGCTGGCTGCTGAAGGTTTAACCAATGTGTATCTTATCTGTTCAATTTAAATGCTGCTTATCTTGGAAATTAAACATTCTATCACTGATCTGTATCTTAATGTGAATGTTTGTCAGCGATGTTTACGTGGCATTAATGAACACCTGATTCTGAATTTCGGGAAGTGTAAAAAGATAGAGAGAGAGAGATGCCAGAAAGTCTTTTTAATGAGGTGCTCTCTTGATGAAGGCTGGATTATCGAAAGTCCTGCTGGTGCTAGCAAAGCTGCAGCAGGCACTGACATACTGCTCTATCTGGACCACTTCTTTTGTGTATGTGTGTGTGTGTGTGTGTGTGTGTGTGTGTGTGTGTGTGTGTGTGTGTGTGTGTGTGTGTTAGTGGATTATCTGGTGTGTGTGCTGCAGGCGTCAATTGACATTCCTCATACGTCACTATATGGCCAGTGTGTTATTTTCCACCCCAGCGCCTCTTGGAATCATTCTGTATTTACATCAAGCTTCAGCCAAGGAACACGCTGCCTTTGTAGAAATACACGGGATGTAAGTGTCTGAACATTAATCACACACGGCAACCGTGAACTTTTTATAGGAAGAAAGAATATTAAACATTGGCTTTGGAAAAAAAATGCATTAAACATGCCAGCTCCACACTGTCAAAGCTGTCAGAGCTCAAAGTAAGCCAAATACTGCGCTGGAAATTGATCAAATAAAAATATCTTCCACACAGATCTTTGCCCCTGAGAGGAAATATTTTGTTTGTTTTCCATTTGATTGTGTTTTAAAAGGTATGATTACTGGCCTAAGATACAAATCCATCCAGGAAAACATAACACTCACTGTATTGATGCTTTATGCTTGAAATGGTGCCCGGGGTCATTTCAATGTTAAGCAATTCAGCTAACCAGTTCGCGACCCTTTTAGTGTCCTTCAGGATGAGTGTCCACAGTCTTATTCACACTCAGAGCAACAAGAATGTTGGTTTAAAAACCTCCGCTATCATCCTTAAAGTGACAATCACTTGAAAGCCAAAGATCAAATCAGGAAGTTACCCAGGCTAATCCTGACTGTCAGTCTGCATGTTGACTGCTCCGAGGTGCTTTTGCACACTGGCTTAACACGGAGCCCAGCCTGTATGTGCGGACTCCAGAGCATTAGCTCTTCTTTCCGGCTCGCTGGCTGGAAGCAAGCCAGCACTCTAACAGTGGTCTGACGAATCTTGAACCCATGACTCTCTGCTCACTTCCAACTTGAAAGAAGGGAATTGATTTTAATGAGAACTGGACTTTGACATGGGTAAATTTGAAATACACTCGGTTCTCCCTCTGCCTTGGCCCAGCGTACTTGCTTTCACTGTTAGGCTTTTGCTTCCTCCACCGCTCTGGGCTTGACTGTAAAGCTGAGCTTCACTGGTTCTCTGGAGGAAACACTCAAAGACTGAGCCATCTGTTTAGGCGGTGAAATTGATGAGACAGCGATGACCTTAAGGTTCTTGGCTGTAGTTTGAGCTTGCCATATTGACATACCAGTACAAGCCCCAGTCGTTACTCATAAAGCGCAGGGTGATTGCTAATTAATGTTTCTTCACGGTAACTCTTTAATGTCTCTCACACATGGCATGCTGTCATATTGAGAAGGTAGTGCATCATCATTGATATCTGTGAGATTTTATGATATACATGTCAAACATCTGCTTGCACAGTGAGCAAACGTGAGCCTTTAAAGGCAGTCTATGTAAAGTCTTATTTGATGTTTATCTCTGCTAACCAGGTGGCACGTTGCTTTTGATAGTCTCAGCGTCATTCAGCTGCTCTTCAGTAAGCCTCCTCGTCTCTCAGTGACCGCAGACAGACTCTCTATGCCATCTTGGGCAACTTGTTCTTGTGCTCTCCAGCCTTGGGGAGCTTGGCATAGTAGCCTTTCTACAAGTGCAGTTTCTGTGGGAGTATCCTACAACTTGCAACAAAAGTTCTGTGCTGCTAACTGAATCATGAATTCATAGAAAGAAGAGAATCTCTGGAGATGCCATGACAACAGTGGCCTTCCTAACCTGCAGGTAGGAAAACTAAAGATGGGACGAGGTGGAGGAGGATGGCTGGTTACTTACAACTGCAAGTTTTACAATAAAGATTGTATTTGTTGTCAGTTTTTATTGTCTCTGCGGGTAGAAAGAAATAGCTGCTAGCTGTCATTATAGTTTAGTCTCTCTGTGAGGCTGTTATCTGTTCATATTTGCTATAGATGCCATAGTTTATTTCCAATTCTTAATATTAGTTAATTGACTTTACAGTGCCTACAATAAGGAGAGAATTTCAAATGAATTTTTGACTTCAGTCCAAAGTTGGCCTGTGATTAATCTCATCTCCACACTCAACGTGAGGTAAAAATTAACAAATAATGTTGTAGGAAAAAAGCTGCAAAAGCGTGTTTTTTAAAAGACACATGCTATCAGGATTACGATGCTGTTTTCATCTGCTGTTATGATCCTCTTGCTTTCTGTGCAATCACATGTTTTCCTTGCAGGCACCAAGGAACTCTGGGGTTTAATAATTAAAAACATTCTCTATGCATTTCTAAAGAATTCAGATTTGTTTTAGGTTACTTGTTTGGTATAACACAGAATATGTGTAGCCTAGAGATTATTTCTTTTTGTCTGTGCCTTGCCTCAGGTTGAAGTGCTGAATTAAACTTTGCTTTCCTGTGACTTTGTTGGTTGCTTGAGGAGATTTTCCAAATCTTGTATGAGCAGCAATTGTCACAGAAGCTGAGTAGACTCTACAAAGAAGATACCCTTAATCACTTAGGGCTAATACAGTCTTCTTTGGCCAAGCTGAACAGAGAAACTTTTAAAACTCAAAGTAGTTATTATACGTTAGAGTCTGCAGACACAAATTAAAATGC